GTGGATCACGAGGTCAAGAGATCGAGACCATCCTGGTCAACATGGTGAAACCCCGTCTCTACTAAAAATACAAAAATTAGCTGGGCATGGTGGCGCATGCCTGTAATCCCAGCTACTCATGAGGCTGAGGCAGGAGAATTGCCTGGACCCAGGAGGCGGAAGTTGCGGTGAGCCGAGATCGCGCCATTGCACTCCAGCCTGCGGAACAAGAGCGAAACTCCGTCTCAAAAAAAAAAAAAGAAAAAGAAAAAGAAAAGTCAGAAGGTCTGGCTTCAGATCAAAGTTATGTAAATACTTAGAAAGAAAAGCATGATGCTTGAGTAGGAAAACTACTATTATTAACAGATGTTTTACTACCATCCATCATTGATAACAATGGAAAATTATGCTTGCTTTTTATTTGAGCATTTCAAAAACTAAATCTCATCAGTTCTTATAACATCTCTAGGAGAGGTGATTCGGATCCCTAGGAAAATACTGTCTAACCTAAAGGCTAGGCAGCTCTGAATTATAAATGGAGTCAGATGGTTTACAAACTCTATGAAATTATAAAAAGTTGGTAAGTTCACATACATTTCTGATGAGTAAAGGGCTGTTTAATCATAAGAACAGTTACCTCTGGCCATGGTTAGAAAATCTGAAGGAAGAGAAAGCAATAATGCTTTCCATACAAAGTCACAGAGCGAGTCAACGTTAGCATCAGAGACAGTAACCAGGGACTGCTAAAGCCAGGGCTCTCTCTAACTAGATCATTCTTCTTAAGGGATCACATATCCAAAAAGCAGGTCCCCAAGAAAAATAAAACCCCACCTGTGTATGGGAGGAGAATCACAGACTGAGGGGTAATGAAGCTCATTCTTTATCAATCAGGTCATCATACTAGTTTTCAAAGGGAATTTGCAAGGCAAATCTTTTGTCCTACTAAAAGATTCATTTCATTCATCAAAGAAAAAAGACCCCAGAGGGAGTACGTACTGCAGAATCCCAAGCCTCTTCTATCACCTGTTACCTTGAAGCATATATTCTGTTCTAGAAGAAATCTTTGGGCAGTTCCTTTTAGTTATGTAGACTGTAAGTCAAGTAAACATCTAGTGTGCTAGAAAAAGGTGTAACTGGTCAAATTTTTTAGCCAAAAATAAAGGCTATTCCCCACCATTCTCAACTCGTTCCCATTCAAGAACCTATATGAACTCTATTTCCCTGTTACAGAGTGTATGGGAACAGGAGTGGTTGTCGGATTAATACAGTGTCTGGTAAGTTAAAATGACCTCATACTTGTCCTATTATTCTTTTCAAAAAGCACTGGGTCACACAATCAATAGCACCTTCTAAAAAGGGCTGTAAGGTCAGGTGTGATGGCTCACGCCTGTAATCCTAGCACTTTGGGGGCCTGAGGCAGGTAGATCACCTGAGGTCAGCAGTTCAAGACCAGCCTGCCCAACGTGGTGAAACCCTGTCTCTACTAAAATACAAAATTAGCTGGGCATGGTGGTGCACGCCTGTAGTCCCAGCTATTCAGGAGGCTGAGGTGGGAGAATCACTTTGAACCCAGGAGGCAGAGGTTGCAGGGAGCTGAGATGGTGACGCTGCACTCCAGCCTCGTCAACAGAGTGATACTCGGTCTCAAAAATAATAAATAAAATAAAAAGGGCTGTAAGAGAGAAAGAAGTAGTAACATTCACTTTAATTTCACCTGCATCACTAACAGCCCTAATGAAAGGGTATGTGTAGGAAGTAAAATCAGCCGCTAAAACTTCACTTCAATTACCCATAGTGTGGTATCATTCCTAGCATGCCAGTCTTGGCCTCCAGTGCACACATCACCGAATCGGATGGCTAGGTCTACCGAAGTCTCTGGCATGCGGCATTCCAGTCACCACTACTGGCACTGCGCCTGTCATTGTTTTGTCCACCTTTCTTTCTCGTCATGGTCGTCATTTGTTTACTGCTTTACTGTACCAAATCCCATTCTCAATATCTTTTTACCAGCAATTCTCTGTACTTGCAGAATCACTAAATATCAAGACTGAACAGGCTCTAGAGGTCGTATCTTCCTTCCTTCTTCCAGTTTCTTGTTGGCAGAGTATTTTCTGTCTCTATCTTGAGTTTCCTTCCCAACCCTTGTTCCTACTCTCAAAGCTTCCCATTCCTCATTAGCAGCTTCTCATACCACACACCGCTAAATCCTCACTGCCTCTATAAATATCACTGTCCCTTTTTCTTTTTCTTTTTTTTTGAGACAGAGTCTCCCTCTGTCACCCAGGCTGGAGTGCAGTGGCGCCATGTTGGCTCACTGCCACCTCTGCCTCCTGGGTTCAAGCGATCCTTCCACCTCAGCCTTCCAAGTAGCTGGGATTACAGGCATGAGCCACCACAGCCGCCCAATGTCCCTGTTTCAACATAATTTCTGGTTCTCCCAACTGAGAAGCCGAGTTTCAGCTCTCATAGCGAGCCACTTCAGTTACGTTCAGGAAGCCTTCTCCAGGTAAGCCAATCTAGCACAGTCTGTTCCCAGTTGCATCTTTGTACTTCCAAACAGCTCCCTATTCATAGAATCAGTACGTTTTAGAACCAAAAGACAACTCAGAAATATTCTGGTCCAGTGTTTTTCCGAATTTTTAAAGTACACTTTGCTTCTTACATTTTGAGATGTACAAAATCCATTTTACGTGACAATGTCATACACACATGACTCCAACAAATCCCATGAAACAATACTTACTATGTAAACACCTCGACAATTTCTACCCTATGCCACTTTTTAAAAGAAAAGTACAGGTTCCATCCACGAAATTGGTTTCGCAGCCCAGTACCAGGAAGAAACCCCTAGTTTGGGAGACGTTAAACTCGTCCAAACTTCCCATTCACCGATGAGGAAGCTGACTGGGCGGTGAGGCCCGTCTGCGGAGTCCCAGAGCGGCGCTCTTCCCCGTGCGGCCTCCGCGCGCGGCCTCCGCGCGGCCAGCCCACCGCACCCGGCCCGACCCTGCAGTACCATCCGACTCTTACGCGCGCCGGCCCCCGGCCGAGCCCCCGCGGCCGCGGCTCCCGTTCCCGCAGGGCAGGGTCCCTCACAGTCACCACCCATCGGTCAGCCTCCCTGGAGTCACCGCCTCACATCTCCTCGGCCCGAGCGCCCTCCGGGCCCAGGCGTCCCGCCCTCGCCGCTCGGGTCACAGTCCCCTCGCTGTCACCGGCCCTCGGTCACAGTAGCCTGGCGGCCCCCGCCTCACACCGCCCTCGCTGTCACCGCTCTTCCTCGGCCGCCGTCGCCTCGCGGTCCCGGCCCCGCAGTCCGTCCTCTCAAACACCGACGCACGGATATGCACACACCTGCAGCTCGCGCTCCCCCAGCCCGGTCCGGTCGATTTCTGCCCGGCGCCGTGTCACTGACGAGGGAAGCTGAGGAGGTTGCGGGGAGACGCCCGGAGAAGGCAGCTGACGGAAGAGCCAGCCGGAAGTCCCGCCTACCTCCCCACCGCTGTCAATCCGACCACGACGTCTCCTTGCAAACCAAGACTCCTGACAAAGTAGTTCCGCCTCCTCAGAGGCCCCGGGGGTGAAGTGACCGGACGGACGTGCCCGAGACCGGAGACGGAGTGACCCAGGTCCGTCTCCGCCCGGAACCGGAGGCTGCGGCGAAGACGCCTCCGGGCAGCGGGAACGGATGTGACCGGCACGGGCTAGCCGGCCGGTCCAGACGCGCTGCCCGGCAGCCCCTGCGGCCCAGCTCGGCCGCGTCCTCCGCCGCACCGCCGCGCCCGGGCAGCCGCCGTCCGGAGGCCCCCGACCGCGCCTGCCCGCCCGCCGCGCCTGCCTTGACCGACGCGGGGATGGAAGGGGAGCCGATGACCGCCGGCCAGTCCGCGGAAAACCTTCCTGTTTCCGACCCAGGTTGGCTCAACGAAAAAACGGTCCCTAGGGATCCGCCGAGAGCTAGTTGAGCAGGAGCGGCTTCACGGGAGGTGACTAGCAGCAAGGCACGTGCCGCAGGTGTATGGCGGGAAGAAACGCTTTCCGTTTTTAGAACGAGCCTTTGGAAGGGTCCCTTTTAATTCCGTAGAGGTAAATGGCTGCACAGTGTTATGGAAGAACGATGTAAAAAAAACTTTTTAAATTTTTAGTTGTCAACTTAAGTAAAAGACCTTTTTAACTTATTTACTTCCTTTTAAAGACGGAGTCTCGCTCTGACGCCCAGGCTGGAGTGCAATGGTGCAGTCTCTGCTCACTGCAGCCTCCGCCTCCCAGGTTCAAGGGATTCTCATGCCTCAGCCTCCCGAGAAGTTGGAATTGCAGGCGTGCACCAACACACCCGGCTAATTTTTGTATTTTTAGTAGAGTTGGGGGTTTCACTATGTTGGTTAGGCTGGTCTCGAACTCCTGACCTCAATCTGCCCACTTCGGCCCCCCAAAGTATTGGAATTACAGGCGCGCCCTGCCAATTTTTTTTTTTTTCTTTTTTGTCTACTCGCAAACTGTGAAAATGTATGCGAAGCACCAGGGTGATTGGCTGTGGAGAGATACTCCAAATACCTGGCCCAGGTCATCCTCTCTCAGCAGGTAACACTGGAATAAAGAATTGCATTTGCTGAGCATGGTGGCCACACCTGTAATCCTAGCACTTTTTGTGAGACTGAGGCAGGAGGATCACTTGAGCCCAGGAGTTCAAGAGGAGCCTGGGCAACATCGGGAAACCTTGTCTCTATAAAAGATACAACAATTAGGCCGAGCACAGTAGCTCACACCTGTAATCTCGGCACTTTGGGAGGCCAGGCAGCTGGTGGATCACCTGAGGTCAGGAATTCGAGACCAGCCTGACCAACATGGTAAAACCCCTTCTCTACTAAAAATACAAAAATTAGCCGGACGTGGTGGTGCTCGCCTGTTGTCCCAGCTACTCAGGAGGCTGAGGCAGAAGAACTGCTTGAACCCAGGAGCTGGGGGTTGCAGTGAGCTGAGAACGTGCCACTGCACTCCATCCTGGGCAACAGAGTGAGATTTCATCTAAAAAAAAAATAAATAAATACCATAGTATAACAAAATCAAAACATTAAAAATATGAGGCCTAAAACAACAGATTCTGTTGTCAAACTACTAACATCTTTATTTTGTCAAGATATTTAACAATATTAAAAAGTTCAGGTTTCTTCATGGTCACATCTTTTCCCAGCTTTTCAAAGATTCATTCAGTAGTAGAAACAGCCAAATGCTGCTACAACGCAGAATAAACTGTCCTAAAAAACAAAACACACACACACACACACACACACACACACACACACACACACACACACAGAATGTTAGTACTGGAGAGGAATAAGAGCAGCATGGGCAATTGAAACACACTATCATCTCAGATCTTTACCAATTTTCGTTTTTTGTTTTTTGTTTTTTTTTCTTCAGACAGGGTCTCATTCTATCACCCAGGCTGGGATACAGTGGTGTTATCTCGTCCTACTACAGCCTCAACATCCTGGGCTCAAACAATCCTCCCACCTCTGCCTCCAGAGTAACTAGGACCACAGGTGCATGCCACCACACCAGGCTAATTTTATTTTTTGCAAAAGATGAGGTCTCACTATGTTGCCCACGCTGGTCTTGAACTCCTGGGCTCAAGTAATCCACCCATCTTGGTTTCCCAAAGTGCTGGCATCACAGGCATGAGCCACCTCACCCAGCCACCAATTTTCAATCATGAAGACTTCTTCCTTCTTCCTGAAGTGAAGGGTTTCTAGAGGATAGCTATACTATTGCTTGATAAAAGGTTAGGATGGGCAAAGAATTAGATGTTCTGAATGTAGAAATAAAATGCGAACTAATGAACTTTAGGTAATACATATTCAATCTTAAAATAACTATTCACGTATTTCCTGATTTATCACAGAAAGAATGTATGAAATGTTTGAGTTTCTTGGAGTAAATTGCACTACTCATCTCAAGAAACCATGTTATAGTATCACTGATTGTAAAAACAGCAGAACCTTGTCATAAATTCTGGATAAGAGAAATAGTCTCTGGGTGTTTGTTCTTAATTAATAAAATTTATTTGTCCACCTTCTAGTTCAGACTCACAAAATGCTTTCCAGAGCCCAGTCAAATTGCTTAAAACACTTTTTAGGCACTTATTACAAGATTTCCACCTGCCTCGGCAACTCCTGAACCACCAACCTCACCTCTAGCCTGGTAATGAGATTAAAGCAATCTCACCTCAAGGACCTGATTATTCACCAAAAGCAAAATTCTTTGGTTTAGCCCAGCGCCCTGGCTCCTTGGGCAGATAAGTCTGAACTGTGCTCTACAACAGTGCTGTGATAAAGGACCTGCTCTTGTTTTCATTTTAGCTTCCAGTCCCTCGTGGAAGGATGCTTTTATAAAATCCAGTAAAAATAGATAACTCAGAAAATGAAATGAAAAAAAGGAACATATAAAATACAGCCCCAATTTTTTTTCTTAGATTCACTGGACATAAAATTACATTGTCAAATTGCTATAAGAGTTTCTAAACCCTTACACTCAATGTGTGTGCTAAGCTCATCATGGACCTGTAACAAACGGGTCACAGGGTGCCACTGGTCTCTGGGCCCCACCTGGAGTGGCACTGTTCTATAGCACCACCCAGAGTTCTCCAGCGGGACTGAGCCCTGTTATCTACAGCAGTTTTCTGCTCAATGGCACATGATTTTCCCTCCTCTCTCATTTCCTCAGCCTCTACTCATGTTTCCTGGAATCTCCCAAATAGAGTGCCCTTTGTGTGGGGGGGGGTGGGGTAGGGATAGCATCTCACTCTCTCACCCAGGCTGGAGGGCAGTGGTGCGATCTTGGCTCACTGCAACCTCTGCCCTCTGGGTTCAAGCAATTCTCTTGCCTTAGCCTCCCGAGTAGCTGGGAATACAGGTGCCTGCCACCATGCCTGGCTAATTTTTGTATTTTTAGTAGAGACGGTCTTGAACTCCTGACCTCAGGTGATCCGCATGCCTCGGCCTCCCAAAGTGCTGGGATTACAGGTGTAAGCCACCGCACCTGGCATCCAAATGAAATGTTTTAAGCTCTGAAAATAAAACCTAAATAAATATCCAGCTCGGCTGGGAGCAGTGGCTCAGGCCTGTAATCCCAGCACTTTGGGAGGCCAAGGTGGCGGATCACCTGAGGTCAGGAGTTCAAGACAAGCCTGGCCAACATGGTGAAACCCTGTCTCTACTGAAAATACAAAAATTAGCCAGGCGTGGTGGCAGGCACCTGTAGTCCCAGCTACTTGGGAGGCTCAGGCAGGAGAATAGCTTGAGCCAGGGAAGCAGAGGTTGCAGTGAGCAGAGATTGCACCATTGCACTCCATCCTGAGCAACAGAATGAGACTCCATCTCAAAAAATAATAATAAACACCCAACTCAACAAACTGGACTAAAGATAGTGGAGACTAAACAACTTAAAGCAAGCTATCAAAAATGATGTTTAGCTACCTCCTCCACCAATCCTGTGTTGCAAAACTCAATCCTGACAATCCTATTAAAGGAATAATTGTTAAGTAAAGTTTTTTATTACATATTTGTTTGAGTATTGAGAGGCCCCCACTGGATGTTAAGCTCTCTACAGGCAGAAACCATGCGGGTCTCATTCATCACTTTATCCCTAGCCCCTTGAGTGCAGAAGCTGACACATAATAGGAGCTCAGAACTGTTTGCTGAATGAATGAATTGTATCATCTAAAGATGCTTTTTTTTTTTTTTTTTCAACCAGGTAAGGTGGCTCACACCTGTAATCCTAGCGCTTTGGGAGGCCAAGGAGGGGCAGATCACCTGAGGTCAGGAGTTTAAGACCACCCTGACCAAATAGTGAAACCCCGTCTCTACTAAAAAAAATTAGCCAGGTGTGGTGGCATGCAGCTGCAGTCCCATCTACTCGGAAGGCTGAGGCAGAATTGCCTGAAACTGGGAGGCAGAGGTTGTAGTGAGCCAAGATCGCACCACTGCACTCTAGCCTGGGTGACAGAGACTGTCTCCACACAAACAAACAAAAAAAGATGCATTTTTAACTCCAAGAAGCACAAAAATTCATCTTCTCAGCTTGACTCTTCCCCCAAAGACAGCTGACAAATGAAGATTTGTCTAGTACTTCCCACTGTCCAGCTCCTGATCCCTTGGGTAGTTGAGCATAAAATAAAACTTTGCTTGAGACCATGGAATTTTAGAACTAAAAGCTAGCTTAAAATCATCTACATAAGCAGCTTCCGTATCTGGCCGTCAGCAGAGTCGTGTGAGGAACGTTTTAAAAATTCAGATTCACTGATCCAACCCTTGGCTTATTTGATCAGGATCTATTTGAACAGGGTCCCAGCATCCATATTTTAAACCCCCCAAATTATCCTCAGGCAGTCACAGCCAGTCTTTGGGAAAATGTACTTCAGCTTCCTAATGTTACTGATACAATGTGAGAAAAACCCAATTACTTCCCTAAAGTCATTTAATTAGAAAATGGAACCCCCTTTTTTCTTTTACTTTTTTTTTTGAGATGGAGTCTTACTCTGTCACCCAGGCTGGAGGGCAATAACACAATCTCAGGTCACTGCAACCTTCATCTCCTGGGTTCAAGCGATTCTCCTACCTCAGCTCCCAAATAGCTGGGATTACAGGTGTGCACCATCATACCTGGCTCATTTGTGTGTGTGTGTGTGTGTTTTCAGTAGAGAGAGTTTC